AATGACGCTGGTTCACATCTCCCGACTTGACCTTTTTTAAAATTTCCTCTAGCTATCTTTACTCTCTCGCTTCTGCATTCTGTCTTCTCTCCAGTCTGTAGTCTTCTCTACCCTGTATATTTTGTCCCTCTTTCTATTTTTCCCAATTATTCTTTTACCGTCCATCTTTTTTGTTTTAGATTCTTCAGTAATGTATGTTTTTTCCCGGCTCTATTTAAACTTAAAAGAAACATAACCACCATTGCACTTTTTAAAATACTATCTAAAACCAGCGACCCCCGGTTAGATTGAAAGGTTGGAGGGAGGGGGGGGGGGGGGCTGTACAAAAATTTCTGTATCACCCGGAATTTAAAAATTCAAAACGCCTTGTCAAATGTGATAACCACGTTATGATTACATGGTACGCGAATCAATCTACCACTCTCGTAAACAGAAAGTGTGGATCCAAACATATGCCGATCACTGTCCCCCACCCAATCTTCAATCCCTTCGGGCCTAATCTCACAACTCCCTAGGAATAACAATAAAACACATTACATTCAGCGTTCTGCTGGCATACTTCAGATTTCACGAGCCAGACCATAGAACGCAGGTAAAGTGTTCACTAAACTAGGGCTCCTAAATGGTTGATCTCCTGAACTTATTTTTTTTTTCGTCTTTGAAAGGACTTCCGGTGTAAGTGTTACCGTAGTTTTACGTACGGTGAAGATCGTGTTCACAAGATAGTTTTTCAGGCAGTGAGAAAACAGCCATATTTATGCACAAGTTGCGTTGTCTTTTTGTTGCACGTTTTGACTTTCACCTTCTCCTTCAGGACAGCCAATAAAGGGAGACTGGGTAGGTGTTAGCACAGTTGTCATCAGGGCTGCCAATGACGGGTTACCCCCAGATCTCGTTTTTTTTTTAATATGACGCCTTGGGTTCGAATTTGGAAATCTGGGTTTAAAAAAATATGATAAAAGGTTAGTTGCGTATCCTTTACAGGACGTTGCAGAACCAACCCCAGCAGCCCCTGGCTGTTGTGGTTTCTCTAGGCAAATTTATGTCCAGTAGTTTGCCATTTCTACTGGACAGTCGGCTCCCTGATACCACTGTCGAAACCAACGCAAGGCGCATGGCCCGCAGCTGGATTCGAACCCGGCACTTCGGCATTACGAAGCGTTCACATCGACTTAGCCACAGAGCCGACACAAAAAAATATCCTTATATAAAAGTGGGTAAATTTTTCGTTTCGTAACTAAACAATTTGTACTTTTAAACAATCTGGGTTTTTTTTTTTTCTATGTACTGCTTGGGTTTTTGTTTAGCTTAGCCTGGTTTTTAAAAACAATCCCACTGGGAGCCCTGGTGGTCAAAGGATCCAGTCCCCATCCAAATAATTTAAAAACCAGAAGGTCTTCTTGGCCCGTAAATTCCTTTGAAACTAAAGTTAGTTCGATCCCCAATGTGCTCTCTCATTCTCCTCCCACGTTTCTTTCTTCGTCCTCCTTCTTCTTCTTTCCCTCCTCCTCCTCCTCCTCATCAAGAATTTCCTCAGAACCGTTCATGTTGACAAAAATTAATCCTGATTCTGTTGGGATTTGATCTGCCACTCTTAGCAAGCAAGGCGCCAACCACTAGCCCACACTAGGACAGGGCGTGTAAACTGTGACTCAGACTTTGATTAAAGGATCATGAATGTCTTCTTGTAGAATAGACTTCCTGTCTTTTGTTACAAGTAAACTAGCAACACTTGTCCAGGTATTTTTGGTTACCGAAAATCCCCAGCCACGTGAAGACGTTTTTGAATAGTGTACATAGATATCCCCAGTACAGTTGCCACTGAAGCAGGGCTGCCAATGGGATTTTTTTTTGAAAACCCCAGCTTAGCTGAACAAAAAACCCAAGCAATACGTAGACAAAGATCAACCTAGATTGTTAAAATGTACAAAATTTATAGTTACGAAACGAAAAATTTACCACTTTATAAAAATAAATATTAAAACAAAAAACAGGTTTCCCCCAGGCGTCAAATAAAAACCCAGTTCTGGGGGAAAAAACCCAGCATTGGTAGCCCTGCACTGAAGCCCCGTGACCAAGTTCGAAAAATATCGTATAGTCACGTGAACACGTCAGCTAGTATTTCAAACAGCACTTTAAATCTGATTGGGTCAACTCCGCCTAATTCAGTCCACGATAACTTCCTGTGTGTTTTGAGTGCATACGGTATCACTTTGACACTGGTCTCTTACTGTGCAGGGGACATGTGTCTGGATAGTGTCCCAGCGTACAAAAGAGCTGGGGGTGTGGGAGAGGGAATGAGAAAGTGTAATGAATATACCCACTAGCAGGGTACTCTTAAAACCTAGTGATAAATCTTTTGTTATATCGCATTGCCCAGCAGAAACTATTACAGAAAGTGTGTAGGAACGCGTTCTTGTCACTTACAACAGATATATATATATATATATATATATATATATATATATATATATATATATATAGATGGATGTATGGATAGATAGACAGACAGACAGACAGACAAAAAAGGGTGATGGGGGAGTCTCAGGGTTGAATACGGTAACTTGTTAGCGTACGTACCTTAAGCCGTCTCCATGATGTTGGAGACGGCCTTGGCAGACCCCTGCGGAGACAGTGGTCCGAGTTCAATCCCCTGCAGAGGTAGGATTATTTGTCCCTCACTGTTCGGTCAGGGGTTGGAATGGAACCAGTTTCTCAAAAATTAGATTAAAGACAATTTTTATAATACTCTGTGCATTTGTCTGGCATGGTAAGGTGACATTGTAGCGATTCGGCCACAGTCATAGTAGAGCACAGTGGTTCCCAGATAGATCAAACCCACACACCACGTATATTTCAAGCTCAAACTCGGATATCATACTTTTTAATAGTCTAATGTTAAAAAAAAAAAAAAGGAGATCAGTATAATAATCATACACCCTTAAACACCCCCTCCCCCACCAGAAGAGTTGATATTTTTTATTATTAGAAATGAAATCACGGACGCATTAAATGTGACCATCAAATGGGAACCATTGGCCAAGATTAACAGGAGACAATCCGTGACACCAAAGTAGTAGCTGCAGTGGGGTTATCTTTTGATATAGGATAACATACTTGTGTTGAGGGGAGTCCTTAAATTAAAGTTAAGAACCAACATCAATAGACTCATGACATTCACATAAACGCCATGTCTCCATCTTCAGCAACCAGTGCACAGTATCTGTTGATCTGTTGTGACTGCTGCTTCCATCCACGATGAACTACATTTCTAGTGCGGACTGTTTGTGCTGGCACTTCTGACGGCTGCCTTATGCATTTAATGCGTGTGTATGTTACTGGTTTTGTTAAGACTGCAAGGGACAGTGATAACATTATGTGTAGTTTTCACCGGCACAGGAACGGAGCAACTATAGGGTAACCTGTTTGCTAGGAAAATGTGATTACCGGATTTCCTTCTTTCGTTAGCTTGAAATAAATTATCTATATCCATATCTATACTCCCCGTGTATCACTCCTTCCAGACCGTAGTGATCTGCTCATTTGGTCAGTGCTTCCAAAGAGCTTTTACCACATCTGCCTTGTCGTGTATCACTTCAACATCCAGTTGTGCAGAACAGCCATTCAGTCTGCTCGTTAATTTCCAAACACTCGCATGTACCGTAGAATAGAAATATAACCGCCAAACGCTGTCTTTGACCTTCTAAGCGATGCCTATCGCACTGCTTGTCTTCATCTTTATCCAGACAAGTTCTGTAGTCGAGCTAATATAAATAAATACCTAAACATAGTTAAGTCAAGAATTGACATCACAACACTCGGGGCATTCTGATGCGTGCTCCGTCCTCATCTTCAGCAACCAGCGTAGCGTTCCAATACTGACGGTACCGGTCACAATCTAGTTATAGGTCCGTCTTGTATTTCCTCTGTGTAGCGAGTCCCCAAACCCTCTGGTTACACTTAGGTGCCTCATTCTCTCCAGGCCATAATAATCTTGTTTCTCTACTGATTCCGTTACTTGTTCCCAAAGGGCCTGGACCACATCTGCCTTGTCATGCATCAGTTCACCACCCAGTAGTGCAGATCATACCTAAAAAAAAGGTTTCATGAGACATTAGCACCAACTGTACAACGCTGTCGACAACATGAGGACGTCAGGCATGACCATGTAAAGCATGAACATGGAAATAAAAGCTGCTTCATGCCAACTCGTAAAAGTATCAAAACCAGCAGCCACACTTTGTGATCATATCCATGAACATACTTCAGTAAATCGTAACAGACAGCCTCCACTGTGAATGGGTAGACAGCATTCGAAAGTCACACTTAACCTCCCTCACCTGGATCTACACACTTGGGCATGTTTGGAGTAAAAGGTAATTACCCAGTGCATTAACTAGCAAGTAGATATTAACAGTACTTACGGACTAGAGTGGCGAATAGTAACGAATCTCTTACGCTAACATGATTGCGGGATCTCATATTGAATCCTGGTGAAGCACGTCTGTGCCATTTTTGAGATCAAGATAGGAGACATTGTAACCAAATTCTCATGGGAACAATAAGCAGAGGTACCTATGGGTAACAGCTGCCCCAGAGGACTGAGAAGGCACAGGAAAGCCTAATGTGCAGGACCGTTGATTGTGCAACATAACTTAACAAAAACTATGACTTGAAAGTTCAGTGGAGGGAAACGAAAAGTCATAACAGAATATATCTTAAGTGGGACCTGACAAGATTAACTGATCATGGAATGTTCTCCATCTCAAGTGTAGCAGTCTCTGATAACAGGACTAACCGTTTTGGAGCTTAGATTAACTATAAGCCCACAAAAAGTCAGTGAGATTGGATGGCTAGTTATAGTCATTTGGGAGTCATAATGGCTAATGATTTTGTCTTTTTCAGCTTTTTCACAACCCCATGATCTGGGTTCAGTTACCAGCAATACCAGAATGTTTTCAGTCATGTTTATGAAAAGTTCTGGTAAATGTGTGTAAAAGATGCAGCAAGGAAGAGAATTAGGCACCCCACATCATAAAATCATGAGCATAACAACTACTTTCACTGCCTGAGGCAATATGTGACAAAACTAACTATCTAGCTGTAATTAAATGGAGAAAGTGTTATGACGCTTGAGGGTTTAACCATTCGTTATTTAGCCAACATGCTTGTCTTAATGATTGTGTGCTTTTTGCTACAATGTTCGATGTTTTCAATGGGTTATTTAATCCAGAAATTGGTGTTGAAATCTTTTATGTTTAACAAAGTGTCACTTTTGCTCATCACGTTAGTTAATCCAAAGATTTGTATTAAAATATTTTGTTCAATTCCCTGTCCCCTGTTGACCACATCCCCACCCCACTGTCAACTGGCCATGGGCCGAGCACCATATGTCCGACAGGCTGGTGCTAGAAGCGTCCTTGACAACTACATTTATGATCATTGATTCACTGTGCCCTGGACTCATCCCCAGGTTAGCCAGCCTCAGTACTGACATGAATCTCTTCTGACCATTTGCAGCTTCCGTGGAAGATGCCCCGGTCCTAATGCTTACTGTCTGTCTGGTCATTCAGTGACCAAGGATCCATGACAGTGATACAATTATATTCATTATTTACCTTATCTTCATTATTTACCTTAATGACCAGCATTAAGTTGTTTGGGTAGAGTATGAGAGGATGAGATAATTTCTGCTCTTGCCATCATCTTGAAGCCCAAAAAGTACAGTTCCCTGAAAGACTAGTTTTGTGTAGAGTCAAAGGTAGAAGAACAGGAGAACAACAGAAAGTGATATAGATAATTGGTTTTACTATCACCAGACGCTGATTTTATTGGTCCATATTCTTTAGTTATTTCTCAGTAAATACCACATAACAAAGGCAATATTTGTTTTTATCCACCCTTCCCCCTCACATCACTTCTCTGGTTTCACCTCTTTCCCCCATAGTTTACCAGACAACTTAAATTGCGTCTAATCACTTTTCTTTATTTTGTAAAATCTTTCTACAGCCCCTGAGGTAGGCATCATGTGGGCAGATTTCCCCTAACCTTCACATTAACAGATCAGTCAACTCAATGGTTGAGTTCTACTGTGGAATCAAAGCAGCACCTAGCAATCACCAACACTACAGGCATGAGCGAACCATTAATTGGCTGAAAGATGGAGTGAGTTTGGACGGTAACCTGCCCAACAACAGAATCACTAAACCTGTGAGTCCGTCATATATCAGATACTAAAACTCTTGTAATTTTTTTTCCAGCCCTCCATCCCCCAAGGGAAGCGTAGGTCCTCAGCTAGCTTGATTGGCTTTTACAGCTAAAACTTTACACGGAATGATGTATCCCACCTCAATACTAACCTGATCTCTTAGTTGCCTCTTATGACAAGCTTGGCAGAGTGCACTGTTACAGTACAATTGTCTGTAAATGTCTCAGTAATGGTGAAGACCTTATAATATTTAAAGATAGCTGTTTCTGTTAAAAAAAACATAAACAGCAAGCCAAAACACATAGATTTCTTCTTCTTAT